ATATATATATATATATATTTTAAAAAAACAAAAAACAAAAAAAGAGCACTAGAATTATTTTTAAGCCAGTAAAATTGCTCAGAAACAGCACAAAACTTTAGAATTTTCAGGGGTTTTTTTTCAGGAAAAAAACCTTACAGAGAGAACAAAACCTAAAGCTGCCAAGCATTGAGCAATCCTAACAGCACCAGTGTCTGCACCAAGAGGCTTATCTCCCTGAAAAGCTTTCACACCACAATTAGCAGGAAAGGTGTCTGGCAGGGTATTTTAGCAACAGAATATATAAAGACAGTTTTGTGTAACCACAGAATAAATTAAACTGGAAGGGACCTCTGAGTGATCATCTGGTTCGACTCCCTGCTCAAAGCAAGGCCAACTTGAAGTGATCAGCTGTGTTAAATTATTCAGTTATTATTCATGGGTTAATTAATGCAAGCACATATTTCTGAAGTAACAAATACATGTTTGTAATCCAGCTACTGGTTTTGTACTCATTTGCCTATTAAAAACAATAAATAAATCAGAACAACTATATACATTAAGCCACTAGAAACCAATGTATAGGCCCATAGGAATAACTGGCCAGAGCATCTGCTCAACTTTACTTTTCCCCCTGCAGTCAGCACCAATTATGTGATGTTCTCCAGTTTCACAGTAGAAATGGTTATATAATATCAGAACTAACATCCATCTTTATGGCTCAGTGATGCATAAAAAAATGACAAGCTGAAGGTTAGACTATAGTTTGTCAATGTATTGTACTGAAAGTAAATTAAAGGACAGCATAGCTTAATAAAATCTGCTCTTCAAAACAAACAAACAAACAAAACTCCAAACAAACAAACAAGATACAAACACGAAGGGACTAAAACAATTAAAAGTCTGACCATGCAGGTATGCCTGTTACCTAAAACAAGTTTGAACAGATTCCTGAGATCACAAAAAAGTTAGTTGTTTGCTTAGCTTATCATATATTTTAAATGTCCAAAAGAGAAATAAATACACAGTTTGAACATAAATTCTGCCTAAAGTAATTTTCCTTCCTACAAAGGTGGGGGAGTGGACAGCAGACAATTTTTAAATACACCATGCCCTTCAGAATGCTGAAAGCAAGTTTATAGACACATGTAGGAAGTTTATTTTTTCTGCTGAAGCTGAGAAACAGTAGGCACATAGAACACTACTCCAAAATACACAGTTGGCTCCAAGGCATATTTGTCCAGCTGCTTTTTCAGAGGCTTGTCCAAATCTACCCATCTGCGCTGATTCTGCTTATTGTAATACCACAGACTGAAATAAGTAATCTGTAAAAGAGGCATTTCAATGATGAAAATATGTTAATATTGCTATATTAGATAAAATGCACTGTATGAAAAGCTTGCTACTTATAAACAAATGTTTTAAAACACTGACTAAGCCTATGGGTTACTGAAAACTGAGAACTGCAGAGACATTTCGCATCCAGAGCAGATATTGGTTCCAGATAACCGACCCATGTACACAAGGTCCCCCACCTGAAACAACACCAAACCTACTCTTTATTTGCAAACAGTTCATAACTGTTGTAACGACTCACAGATGTTAGTAGTAAGCACCATGTGTGACAGGAAAGCTAAGGGAAGTGAAGAAAGCAAATGAAAAATGACATTGGACAGCAGGAGAGCAATGCATGGCTCCTCTGGGGAACTGGCAGGCAGGCTCACATGGGATGCTGAAGGACAAAAGAGCACAGGACAGCTGGTCAGCCAAAGCCAAGCTCATTAAAGCATATGCATGGCTCATCCCATGAGCAAGAAAACGAGCAGACAGAGCAGAGTAGCAAGCTCTCCTTCTGGAGCAGGCAGCTCCTGCCCAAGCCAAGAGACAGAACACAGTATGCACTGGAGCAGACAGCCCCGAGAGGCTGAGGGGTGGCACCCCTGGAACATCAGAATCCCACTGGGCAGCACCTTCAGCGACACAATCTAACCTTGAATAGACCCTCTCTGAAAAGAAGTCTAGATCAGAACATTTTTCTCTTGCTCCACAGTATAGTTCTGAAGCCACACTGCGAAGTCCTCCACTCTGTTTGAACTGATTAAAATCTGCTCCCAGAGAACTTACTTCATTCAGTTCTGGACCAGCAAACAGACATGCACTGGAAAATATTCATGTCATTATCAGAGCAAAACTAGATATCCTAATTACAAGTATTTTAACTGAGGGAGATAAGTGAATGCTACAAATTACCTATTCCATCTGTAGGCACTTACATGGAAACTCTTCAAGTCCTTGCCACATACACTTTAGTACATGTAGAAATGGTAGAAATACCAATATGTTTTATCCAACACTTTCCATTATGTATTTTCAGATAGTTTTAGTTTATACAAAAATTAAAGCTATTAAGGATGAAGTTTTATAAAACAAAGGAATATTTTTCATAATGATTTTTTTACATCAATAATTTCTGTGAATTAGACTTTGGAAAATTATCTACCTAGCAAAGTATTTACGGCTTATTTCACAGTTCTAAATGATTGTTGGTGGGGTTTGGGGTTTGGAGTGGTTTATTTCCCAATGTTTAAAAATAAAAATCCTCTAAATTAAAACTACTGTTACCATGTAATTGCAAAATCAGTATTCACAAGATAAAAAATAAATGTGTTAGGATGAAGTCTGCCCATTTAACCTTAAGATTCCTTCTATAAACTCTAAAACAACTCTAGGCCTATCTGATAAAAAGGCAGGCTGCAATATTGAAAATAAATTGAATTAGAACTGTTGATAGAAGGGAAAAGCAGGTTCTTTCAGTATAGAGAAAGATATCTGGAGAAAATGCAGAATGTTGATATATATAAAAAATAGTTTCATGGCTGGGAAAGTTTAAAAATCACCACAGAGAAACAGATGATTCCCACATCAGAAACAGAGATATCTTATAAAGCAAATCCTATAAACCAAATTTTTCATGGGTGGTCACTGTGTGCTCATCACTTCTGAATTCTGAAAGCCAAGAGTCAAATTTAGGAAGTCATAAATACTTTGAGTTTCAAGAGGACAAAAGGAATATGGCTCTGAATACAAATACTACAAATAACACTGTTTTCTAATGTCTCAGTCCAGGCACACAAAGTTTGCTGATACTGTAAACAACATTTGCTTTTATTTCTATTCTTCAATCTCTAAGCATTAGGTATAGTGTGGGGGGTAACCTCTGCCACCCCACTAGGATATTGTGAAGACAGTATCATAAGATTCCATAAGATGCTAAGAAAAAAACCAGTGGCACCACAGAAACTGGAGAAAGAAAGAGATTGTGTTCACTACAACATCACATGCTGAAAAGGTTAAATGTACCAAATGACTGACTACTCCTCACTCCTTCCTGCAGACTGAATAAGGAAAGGAACGCGTGTAACGAGTTGTATTTCTCGTTCATTACAAGACTGTTAACACCATGGCTGCAGTCAGAGCAGACAAAGTCAGACTGTGATGCTGACATTCTGTAAGTTCTGAGTGTTATCAATGCAATGTATGTACAATGCAAGACAGTAAGCAAACTAGAGGACCAAACATTAAAACAACAGTTAAACTATATGCCATGAGCTACTTGATTTCACTTGCTAAGAAGAGCTCAAAAAAGAAGGCCTTCTGTGCTGGATCAGCCCACTCACCCAACAGGTCAACCACATCAACCTTGGGCTAAGAATGGTTTAAAATGTGGAAACATAACATTCTGTGCGAGAGCAGTGGCCGTGATAAAGACTGAAAGCAAAGGGTAAAAGCTACAGGTGGAAGACTTCTAAAAAGGATATCACACAAACACATTTGGAAACCAACTGAAAATGCACAAAAAATGTATAGCAAATTGTTTGAAAACTCTTTTGCAGCCTTGGTGTACTAAGACCTCATAGAAGCATAGATGTATAACAGAAAGAAGAGGAGAAGAAGAGCACAAACCTCTGTTAAGACCACCACTGTTTCAAATTGTCTGGTTTAAGATATTCCTGGTTCTACACCCCAAATCTAAACTGAATGTATGGACTATCTTTAGGGCATGATAATCACTTCGACGGACTGGTTTCTTTGAAACACTGACTGCTTTTTCTTGCCTAGGCACATAACCAAGTAGTTACTGCCACAACAGACCAAGAAAAATGTTTCCACATTTTAAAATATTCTCTGGAATCCAGTACATCTTTAAACAAATTTTTTCTGCCACAGTATTTTCCCTTACAAACTCCTCCAATCTGGACTATCAAAAATGAAATGAATGCCAAGCCAAGCCAAATACTACGGACCAAAGCTGGTCTTCTGACTTCTATGCAAACCTTTCACTTGACTTCAAGGGCAGAATTTGATCCTCTGAGTTTTCAGAGGAGCTTATGCACCCTGGAATATTCACACTGACTAAAATAGAATCCATTTTTATTCATCGCTAAAACATTTTATTATTAGCAGCTCAGGACAACATCCAGTGCTAAAAAGAATGGCATGACATAATTCATAAAGTATGTTAAGCTGTTAAGATTAACACTACTTTGAGGTTCATTTATTTTAGTGACTTATTCATGATCCAACCCCTCTGAAGAAAATCAAACAGAAATAAAAATAACATATCATTTCTGCACACTTTCTAACTATTTGCTTTCTGACAGGAATAGCAAATATTTTTGCATAAAAGTTCAAGAGTTATCAAGAACATAAAAGTACCAAGAGCCCAACACAGTATTACAGCTCACAAGTTGGTGAGAGTGGAGTGACTTCATCTATGAAGTCAACCAGACTTCATAAGCTAAGCAGAGGAGCTTCAACAGGTATGAGTGCTACAAAACTATATTACTGTAGGTGACTATGTTAGATCCTTTGGAATGATGTACAATGACAGTCAGAGAAATTGGACTGATCAGTTTTGAGATTAAAGTAAAATCTACCTGTGGACTTCAATTGCTTAAGAGTAGGGTATAGAGAAGACAGAGCCAGAGCCTTCCTGGAAATAATCACTGCAAGTATGAGAAGCACTGGGGACAAGCTGCAATGTGGGAAATTCCAATTAGATCAGGATAAAAATTTCACAACAAGACTAGCCAAACACTGGAACAGGTAGCCCAAAGAAGTGCCAAATCTCTATCCTTGAAGGCACATAAACTTCCCCAAGCAATCCCTGAACCACCTGATCCAAGCCAGCCCTCCTGAGCAGAGGTTGGGACCATGCAACTCTCAGAGGTTCCCCAAGGCATAGAAGTGTTCAAATTTTACTCTGAACTTACGTATTTAATAATATATTTCCCAGTTAATTTCTGTATCCTGTATTACAAATCTTAAAAAATATCTCACACAGGTTACAAATAGACTGGAAAAGAGAATTGTTTCCTAATGGTTAATACAGTGCCTTGTAATTAATGCATTTGGCTACCTGCCTCAAAGGTACAGTGACCCGAGGAATCACCATCTTATGATGTGAGGTAAGAAATTAAAAAAGAGAAAACAATAACACAGTTTACAGAAGAATGCAATTAAAAAAATTTTCAGGCTTTTCCTCTTTTACACTGGGTAAACAAACCATAAGACTTTCCTGATCAGAGACCTGAAAACACCTTCTCATTATTGAAGGATAAGCATGGCAGTCGAACTCATAAAATCCCAGTTAGCCCAAGGGCTCCACCATGTCTAGCTTTGCTGTATGCTTGGATACAAAACAGCTTCTGCTATCAGGATACCACAGTTTAAACAAACCACATGCAGGAGAACTGGGTCAATAATCCTGTACTATGCACAACTGGCAGATACCAAGTGAAAGCTTTACCCTATGCCTAATGTTAAGAGTTATGGAAGAAGACAAGAGGCCCTGAAAATTCTCCAGAAACTCCATTCTTATCACATCAGACAACCTCCTTCACAAACCTTCCCAATCTCTGCAGGAGAAAGGATTTGGAGCAGCCTGGACTGGCCAGTGTACAAGATCTAAGACTTCCTGGAAGTACTGGAGAAAAAACCCCAACCTGTGAGTCTTGTTATGTGCCAGCTACCAAGTGGAAAGTTGCACTTCTCTACACACTACCACAAACAATTCTTCTTGCAGAAATAGGAGGAGTGCTGACAAAAATCCCTTGCTTTGTCCCATCTTGAAGCTAATCACTTTAGGGTACTTTTGCTTATACTATTTTTTTTCTAGCACGATGAGCTCTTCAGTCGTAGCTGCAGGAGGGTATAGCTAAATGAATAAAGTCAGTCTTAAGTCTTAGTTCTTTCACAATGGAAACCTTTTTTCCAACACTCACACACACATTTTCTCCTAACTATTCCAATACCAGTTTCACAAAGGCTATTTAAACAAAGTAATTGCCAATTATAGCTCAAAGCAAAACACCAGGGATAAGAAATAAATAAACCAAATCAATACTTTGCAAGGCAATCTGACATATTCTACTTTATTCAAAGGAAAACACTGCACGAATCACAATACCCTGTGTTTTACACCCTTCAGATATCTTGAATAAACCATATTCTGACAGGCAAAGTAGATTCTACTTATCAGTACATTAGACAAAGGTAAAGTGACTAATTTACAAGCAGAAGAGCCATACCCTCATAGTGCACAGAAGACATTATATCCAAGACATATTTTAACCACTTGCAGAAAGAGGTCAGTTATCAACATGTCCCAGAAATGTAGAAACACACTTTTTTTTACAAATCATGTCACTTTTTCCCATCACTGTCCAAGGCTCAGAGAAGGACGAACTCACGTAACTGCTTTTGACTCACACCTTACACAGCACTGACATTAGAAGGAGTATCATGTTCCCATTCATTAGAGGCTTAAATTGTGATTGCTTTACAACAGGAAAAAGCCCAATTTCAAAACAGTCTGAAAATACTAAACAATGAACTAATTCCTTTACTTCCAAATGAAAGAAAACCTATCAAAATTAGTACAAAACTGTACAGTAATTCACAGACATGACAGTAAAAAAAAAAACCAACCAAAAAAACCAATTAACAAGTATATCCAAATTCTGATCTAACTTTATGAAAAACCTAAAGAAATCAGGGCAAGACTTCCTAACTGCCATTATTGTCTTTGTCGAAAAACCTTAATTTTTGTGCTGCTCATATAATTAAGATTGAGGTCAAATCCTTTACCTGAATGTATGTATTTTTTCCTTCAGAGAAAAGAACTACAATAATTGTACTGAGGCATTTACTGATTTTTGCCTGACTGATCTGTTCTTCCATTTATCTTAGTTATAATTACTATATGTTTCAAATGGAGTCAAGTTTGCTTTTCAATAAAGTAGCATCTTTTAAACTAATCAGATTACATACTGAAAGTCTGCATTTTTATATACATTCCTCTCCTTTCCTAATTTTAAGGAAAATTTGGTTCAGAGAGGCAACCATAGCAGTTCAACTATGAGCATATGAGCACTGCTTCTCCTCTTATTTCTCCAAGCATCAGCTAAAATTTTGTCAGACTTTAACACAAGGCATAAACAGAATTATGCTAGTGACCCCTCTGTCACAACTTGGCTCAACTTTTTTTTGCCATTCAGTATGGTTACTGATACACATAGATGTAAGAATATTTATGGTTGCACTGGGTCTTATTTAAAAACACTCAACACATTCAAGAAACCAGCACACTGAATTAAAATTTTTTTTGTGTGTTTTCCCCCCCAAAAAATAGCTGCTATTTTAAATTCAGAGCAATGTTTTACAACATAATTGAAGCACTTCTGAAGCACTGTTTCAGACCTTGAAGTTATTCAGGCTCCAGATAACCTTGGTTCCTTTTCCTATTCATGTCCAAAACAAACACAGGAACTAGCATATGCACAACACATACTCTCCCCAGAAGTTTCCTACCACTGGTTCTTGTACTCTACCACATATCTGCAGTTAAGTCAGACTCTACTTGTACACAGAGGAGAATTTGCCTCTTCTTTCTGGTTTAGAAGTGTTATTAGAAAAAACCAAACAAAACCCACAAAACCAAAACCCACAAAAATCCAACAAGAGAGGTAAATCCATTATAACATCTCCTGCCAAACACTCCATAGATATCTAGCTACATTATAATTTTTTAAAAAACCAACTCTGTATTTTCAAGGATTTCATGTGTATGCTCATGCCCTAGATGCAGGATGAGCAGTGTGGCACATACCTTTTAAGGTAAATAACAATCAGAGCTCTCAGCAGATTTTTAAAACTTGTAATTTCAGAATGGTTTTCTGCAACAAATACAGCTTTTTGCATAAATCACATTTGGTTATAGTTCTTTCACTGGATAAAAGACAAGCTGCACTACAAAGGTTAAGTAACTTAGGTTCACTGGTCCCTTTAGCTTCTTTCCCCAGTTCCTCAGTTTAAGAGAGCTGGATTATGTATCCATTGCTGATGAATCACATTCTGGGAATACCAGAAAATATTCTTCTTAGTTTAATGCATTAACTTTTCTATAAAGTTTACCATTAAGCAAAAAAACCAAAAAAGTCAATATTCATAACACTTCCTAAACTCCAACTACGTGTCTGTACTAGTACACAACTTGGAAACTGAGAGGTGCTAAATGGAAAATCAAAAGAAAAACAGTTTAGCCACACAAAGCATAATTTGAAGACTACTCATTTACACAGAGATCTGTTAAAGCAAATATCTTAAAATATGATTATTAAAAATAAGCTGTTGAGTTCAGTGTCCAAATTCAGTAATTCCAGACTACACCAGAGAGAAAGAGGTATTTACAAGTGTTACCCTTGAATGTGTAAGAAAAGGTAGAGATTCCCCTCATGCCTCATGCAATAAACTGTTTTGAAGACACATGGGAACTGCCTGTCCTAAGTGCATAGGCCATATACAGTAATCTGAAACTGATACCTTGGATTTCAGAACGCACCGAGTCTCAGTATTCAAATAAACAGTCAAACTTTCATGTTTAACAGTTTGAATTCACACCCGTGCTTTAAAGGTGCTCAGTCCACTAACAACATGCAACACCTTACAGAAAATACTTTGTGTTTTACAGTATCGAGGGCTAAAGTGGTTTTAGCAGATGTAAGAAAAGTGCTGAACAAATTTTTGTTTCTGAAAACTTTCTGCTAAGCAGTCAGGAACGATCCAGTATCTGCTTGGCAAATCTGACTATTTAAAGGCAGAACAACATTTTCTGAATGCAAGCTCTGGAAAGTAATTTATATCCCTATTTTCCATTCCCTTTTATTGCGACACATTTTCCTGCCAAAATAATCCATGCAAGAATGCATGACTGAAGGAATCTGCTCAGAGTTCAATAGTGTACTGTCAACTCCCTTAGTATGATATATGACTCTTAATTGAGGGGATTGCATCTTTTGCTCTCCTTTTTTTTTTAAAACAGATTTTTAGGAGTAGCTCCAAAGAAAGAGATAGTGAATAATAGCTGAAAAAACCTACAGCTCCAATGCTCTGCGACTAGTTCAATAAAAGCTAGCAGTCATCATTCAGGAAGACAAAGCCTTTGGGTTTTGCAAACAAAATACAGTTAAAATTCTTTATCTTCTGTTGACTTAGCAGTTACATCTGAAAGTGGAAAGATAACATGGACAAACTCCATTCACACAACAGTAACTGAATTCTACATATAGAATATCTGATGTGTTCTAAGTAAACACTAAGGCTATGAGAGTAGTTAGATTCTCCCTTGGCTAGAATGAGAAGGATAAAAAAAAGAAGTCATACTGTTGCACAGAATTGCATTTTCCAAAAGAACTGTACACTAAAAAAATATTTGGAGACTATACAAGAATGCATATTGCAACTGAAAACCACCAAAATAAAAAAAATTAGAAATTTATAGATTCACATTGATTTCATTTAGTTATTAATCTCCAAACAGAAAACCCCCCATCATTTCTGAAAACATCAACTATATACAACATTTCCTACTGAGGAATCCTATAGTAATGCATGCTGTGTACAGTAATAAATGTTTGCAGGATTGAGTCCTAAATATATTTGCTCACTATTTGAGCAAAGTTACAAGCAGTTGCCACTTGTTGACAATAAAAAGATAACATTTTAAAAGCTCATAGCTACTAGTCAATTATTTTCACAATTAGTCTTATTTTGGTTACCTAAATCCAGGGTTCTCACTCCTGTATTTGAATCCCATTTTCAAACCATTATATGGCAGACCAAGAGAACAAGAGCAGAATTTTCAGAACAATGTTAGCAACACTAAATTTCTATTGTTAGTTTTGTCTCTCCTGCCCCCCAGAAGTGCACACGCTGTCACAGTTCAATGACCACAAAATGAACTAAAGGTTTTTAAACTCTAGCAGGAAACGTCAGTTTACCCAGGATTGAGAGCATTCAAATACTGCAATCTGTGTTCAACAAAATTATAAAACAATAACATTCATATGTTCCTATGTTGGTAACCTATGTAGATTTCTGTAAACATTTCACAGCTCAGCATTTTGGAAGGAAGTCATTCAACACAGGAGATGTATAGATAATCACTGAAGGCGTGGAAGAATAAATTTCACTTGCAAAAGGATCCTTCAAAATATCAATTAAGGAATTTTTTGGGAAAAAGTCAGGTTTAACAGATACATACAGACTCAACAGGTTTCCTCATAAGACCTGCAGTCAATTTATATGCCTATATGCATGCTCCAAGACAGTGTATGCAAACGTGTTTGTGGTATTTGAACAAGCAAGACAAATAGTTGTTCACTTATCACATTTTGTGCTTTAGATTCCTTTCACAGCACTAATCCATCAAAAAAACCCAAACAAACACATGCACACAAATAACACTCTCATAACCCTACCTAAAAGGGGACTCAAATCTTGCAATAACTCTTACCCACATTGCTTAGGTAGATTTTTTGTTGTTGTTGTTGTTTTGTGGGTTTTTTTAAACAGACTTTTTGGAATTGTCAGGTTTAAAAAACAGTCGTTCTGTTTATCACACTAGGCTTCTATTCACTGTCACTTCTCACTTGTCCTCCTCTTGGACATTTCCTAAGTTCTGTAATATAAGTGTGCAACTGGTTTGGAGCAATCCAAGACCCCATAAGGACCAGAAGGTGAGGAAACAATGGGAAACACAGGATAGCTGCTCCTGTAAATAAGGTGGTTGCCCTAAATGGTAAGGATTTACCACACAGGTCATCTAGCACCAGAGGCAAAAATCACATCTTCGCTCAACGGTTTGCTTACCTCACGCAATTCAAGCCTCTGAGCCACTGCTTCCAGACTTTCCTGGCCTGTGCTTTCCACAGACAGTGTGAACTCCACAAATTCATTGTTGAGCAGCTGGATCCGAGCCACCAAGCAGCTCTTGCTAGATACTGTGTATCGTCGAGTTCGTTTCAATTTTAACCCAAAAGGTAGAGGCATCTTCTTTTTCCCCCACTGATGGTTATTGTTAAAGAGCTACTACCACTGGGACTTTAAGAGGGGACGAGAAGTTATTTCCTCTCAAAAGGTAAGGAGCTGTAAAGTCTCCAGAGATCAACCAGCAGCAGCAGTATCCATTAAAGCCAAGCAAATTTTCCACCAAGAGACAAGCAGAGGGGACATCCACTGGAATCCTAGTAAAAAGCAAAAGAGAAAGCAAGTAAATACAAGAGTCAGAAATGCTTCGACTGAGAGGGGAATGGTAACATGGGAAAAATAACATGTATATTTTTCTAAATCTAAATAATCAGTCTACTTTTCCAAAATGCAGAGCTGTTATGCATTCAAATAATGAAATAAGCACCAGAGTTTCTGGTTTTTCCACAGACAGCACTGGTCTTTGGCAAGCTAATTTGGTGTTTTTTTAAACTTGCAAGTGAATAATGAGTCTTAATCAAATGTGGCTGCAATGTCTTAAAATAAGTATTTATAGACTGAATTGGTATTTAAATTAAATATGTCAACAAAGTCCGAGTTGCCTAAGGTACTTCTAATACTGAACAAAGCCATTTCCTTTAACAGCAAATCCAGCAATCTGGCTTGTTTTTCAGGGCGACGTGCAGCCTCAGCCACTATCTGCTGGATTAAACACAAAACCAAGCCCCAAAAACGATTAAGGGGGAAAAAAAAAAAGAGAGGCAGGGAGAGAGGCATTAAAGCTCACAGCCATTTCCTATCAGACCACTAAAATGCAATCCCTCTAATTTTCCCTGAATTACAGCCAGCTGTACTATTATTCCTTATGCTAAACTGCTGTATGATGTTTCAGGCTATGCTTTGCCTCACCAAGAGAGTATGTGAGTTCTGTGAACTATTTATTTTCTAATTTTTCCTTGAAAACCATACTCAACCTCAGCCTACAGGTAGCCACCCATTTCCCCACCTTTTGCAAACACCTTCATGCCTCCTCTCCTGTCAACTCCACTTCAAGCTTTACTTTTCTCCTCTTAAGTGTTTTCTTACCAGATGGACCCTACTCTTAAAAATTTGTCATAGAATCATGGAATGGTTTGGGTTTGGAAGGGTCTTCAAAGATCATCTAGTTCCAACCCCTCTGCTATGGGGTGAAATGCTGTTCACTAGATCAACTTGCTCCAAGCCCCATCCAACCTAGCCTTGAACCAGGGATGGGATGCCCACAATTCTCACATTTATTAGGGCTGGTTTTCAGGAGGACATGCAAAACAAGAACACAGTGAGGGTATTTTTCTGCAGCAGCATCTGTGCCTGAAGTCACCGCTACAGCGAGTCTGGACACCACGGCCACCACTGAAGGGAAATTGTGAAACCCACTCGATGTAAAGCCACCCCGGGCCGGGCTGGGCTGTCCAGGATAAAGCTAAGCTGTTGCCTCTCATCCGCGGACCTCTACTGGCAGTGCCTTCCCTGCCCGAAAGGGGAAAGAAAACAACCACCGACTTTTTTTTTTTTTTCACTTTTTTTTTTCTTTCCAGGCTGGTAAGTGTTAGTAGCACATATTAAAAGGTGTGATTTGATTTCTGAGGAGTCTCAGGATTAAGCAGACAGGAGTAGCGTGAGGATATCCATTTCTTTGGAATGGGAGAACCGGAAGAAGGAGTCACCCCAGCACACCTGTTTTTAAACTCAAAGGTAGAGCTATGAAATAAACCAGATGCCACATACTGGTTGCATATTTGACACTGGCACAAGTTGCCCAGGGAGGTAGTGGATGCCCCAACCCTGGCAGTGTTCAAAGTCAGGCTGGGTAAGGCCTGGATCAACTTGCTCTGGTGGGAGGTGTCCCTGCCCATGGCAGGGAGGGTTGGGACTAGATGATCTATAAGGTCCATTCCAACCCCTAAAACTCTATTATTCTATGATACATTTACATACAGACCCACCCTGCCCATGGCAGGGGGGGTTGGGACCAGATGATCTACCTACATACCTAGAAACTTCATGTCATTCAACACAACCACAAACTCCTTAGGCTGCAAACCTCATGCCAGACTCTTTACTCCCCTGAAAGCAGCACAGCAAAGAAGGGAGGTGGAAAGACGCTAAAGGCCTAAAATGGGGAGAAAAAGGAGGCAGCATGGCATTTTTCCTCAATGACATCTTTGCAACCCTACTCCAAAGAATGACCAGAAGCATATTTCATGACCACGTTTCTGATAATCTGGAAGCACTTTTACCATTCTACACAGTCCCCATCCTCAATATATACTGCCTAAAATATTAGTTGAATGAGAAAAAAACCTGACCCAAACACCAACCAATTTATCTTTGGGTACAGCTGTAGAATAAATAACAACAGATAACAACAGGTTGCCCTGAAAAATTTAGGGATACACAGGGAATCCTCACTTTATTACTTGCTCTGCACTTTGATCCTCCAAATCCAGCTCCGCTGGAGCAGCACGCAGGGAATGCTTTACAGACAGAAGCTTTTAGTCCCCTATCCACTGCCAGCAGAATCTCACACTGGGTTTATTCCTGGCAGAGTAACTTTTGGCTGGTTGACCTCAGCTCACGTCCCTGAGGCCCATTTTCCAATACATTCTTTGCACAGTTACGCACTTTCTTTGGGGCTACAGGAATGAGAAAAATCAACTTACTCCTCTCGTTGGAAGCTGCTGTCAGAAGAGCAGTGCTGGTTTCATTTTAGGTTTTATGTAGTACCATTGAATCTGAAAGATTAAAAAATTTTTATGCCCATATCAGGCCCTTAGAAAAGTATTCTAAGGGCATGGGGAAAAAAAAATTAAAAATCTCTCTAACCAGAGGCTGACCTGACAGGTAGGTAAAATTGCCAAACCATCTAATGCTGACACGAGGCAGTCTCAGACTTTCAGTTACTTCACTGTGCAGACAGGTAGCAATGCAAGCATAGGAAGAAAGCTTAGAGCAGACTTTTCAGAATCTGCCAGCCAGGAGCATTCTTCAGGTTATAATCTGTTGTTTGCATTTATTGCTCCACTGAGCATTTACCCTAAATTATTTCATTTTAACTCAGTACATGTCTGACATAATCCTCATGGCTTCTGAAACACATTTGTAACAAGGTAAACTTAAGCAATTAACTTCCAGACCGTGTCACAAAAGATCAACCAAAAAAAAATATATTTCCTGACATATAATAAATATTGTAGAATAAAGTCAAGTTGGATGAATAACACTGAGGTGTCATTCAGTATGTCCTGCTGCTAGCCATGTGTAGTACTTGCAAACACAGCTGTGCTGGTTTCATTCAGCAGCTGCACATTCTGCAATGCTAGGTGCTCTCCTACTTGCCTTCTGCATTATTTTCAATTCAGACACATTTGCATTGCTTTAAAGCTACTTTAGCAAAAAAGGAACTTCATACTGCCAGGAGTTACAAATCCAGCTGATGACCTTTACAATAACAAGCCTTTATTTACCAAGCCTGGAATTTTCATGCAACAGCTAGAAATGTCTTTAGTTGCCAAACTTTGTACATTTGTATTTTCACAGAAATCTGTAGTTTAAAAAATGCCATATTAGAATTTCATCAATGTGGCCGTGACTGATATGTGATTACTGAGCACTGTGGTATCTTTCTCCTTTACCTACACTTCCCACTCCCCCCACAATTGTTAGCATTTTACTTTACACAGATTTTTTTAAACAGCCTGTGTGAATGACAGTGCCCAAAACAAAACTGATGGTGAAAAAGAGTCCCTATTATTTCAAATGCTTAAAATACATATACATGATTTCAGAAATTGTTGGTGAGCCAAAAAGAAAGTCAGAATACTCTACCCTCCCCTTGTTTTACCAGTTAATCTTTGACATGACTCTTGGACTGAGAGAGCAGCAATAAGTACATGCCTCAAACCTCCCCTACCTCCAGAAAGACAGTCCCACAGCCTTTACTTTTTGAAAAGTAAATGCCTGAAACTCCTCAGCCTTACAGTACACAGCAGAGAAGATCCCCCACAATTTTTTTACTGTGCCTGCTGTTTCCCCCTTACCTTGCACAGCGATCCAAAGACAGCGTAGTCTCCTTTCACATACGTGTCGCTGAAAAAAACCCACAGCAATCCCAGACTTTTCCTCCTGGAGCCATCTCATCTGTATTCCTCGGGAACTGACTTACTGTGCTCCTCTGGTCCGAAACAGCTGCTATCTCTGCTAACCCACCTTCTTCTCAGATCACTCATAGTGAAAACATTCCTCACTTCCTGTCTCAAAAAACTTGCTCTGGATATCATTCCACTGGGTAGAGAGCTGGGGGGGTGGAAGAAAATATTACGACCCAAGGAACGTGTGCCAGGCAGCAATTTTGGGAGGCCTCTCTCATGTGACGTGGAGCCGCATGAGTGCGAGCTGCCTTCTCAGAAATATGTTCGAATCGCCCGTCCCTGTGTGCCTCTGTGTGTGTGCATTTAATTTCTTTTCCTGGAGGCGTTCCCCTCGCTCTATCCATGCGGAAGGATACGCTGAAAGAATTAAAGCGAAGGCCCGTATGCTTGTAGCCCATTACCTCAGAGAGTTGGAATGCCTGGCAGGGAGAATGTCAGCAATGAACAGCTGCTTCTCTGGCTACAGGGGCACTACAGAAATAGGGGTTACAACGAATAGCAGGCAATCCAGGCTTTTTTTAATCATATGATCGTTTATCTTAAGCCTTTTCAATGAAGGCGAATCTCTTCCCAAAATGCTGTTGCTCTTATTTTTCACGCGGCTTGGGAAATATTTTCAAGGTTTAATCCGTGTGTGCCTTACCGAGTGACCTGTGCACATGTATTTATGTCTGCAGCTGAAAACAAAAGTCCTTGCAAAGTTTCAGCCGTTGGTAAGATACACAGCAAGAAAATGCAGACTAAAAGCTGATCTTTCAGCCCTTGTCTGGAAGTTAAACTCCCAAAGGTGTCGATAGAAATTACACCCTTAATAACAACCCTCTTAGCAAGCATTAAATGCATATCAATTCAGTAATATTTACAGTGTTTAACCATCATAC